CCCTCAATGATTTTTTAGGCTCAGCCCCCGACTCAACTACTAGTTTTTGTTTATATGTTTGTTTAGTACTAAATGAAAAAATAACTATCGATAAATTATTTGTTATGCTAGTTGTTTCTTCAACTAGCATACATATGTAAGAATTTAAGATTGAAAGTTCACTAAGTTCAACAAAAAATATCGATATCTATACTATACTATAAAGCATTTAACTAAAAGTCTTAAAAAATAAGAACCTATTATCATGCATTAAGTACAAATTTTTAATACATATTACTTAGAGGTAAAGTTTGCGTACATAAACATATCCCTCCCTCGACCCTACTTCAGGTGACACTCACTTGGCTTGTTTCATTTTAGGATAGGCCATTTAAATCTTTGAAAAATCGAGGGAGTCGTAGAGAAGAAGCGATGGATGAGCTTCAATTCTAAAACCGTTTCATAATTCTCTTGGAATAGGAGGCGATTGTTCAGTTTTTTTTTTATAGTGACACACATCGAATCACAATGATGACACCTTTAAGCGTCGTAACTTTTTCTACTACATTGGGACGATGAGCATTGGCATAAGTCACCCTACCTCTCGTATTAACCTTATGTATATATGAACATGAATAACTAGTGCGAAGAAATGAACTTGGATTGTTCGGTGTTGGCCTCACCAAGTTGGGTTTGTTGATTTGGGCCTAACCATATCCGATCCAACTATCTTAGTCTATGGAATTTAGGTACCGATTGGGCTTTGTTGGTCTGAATAAGGGTTCTATAAAGAGTTTAAAGGTATAACCGTTTGTAGAGGGGGATTGAATACAAACACACGAATTTCACTTTAAATTCTTTTATTGATATAAGAAGATTAATACAAGAATTTACAGATTGTTGCAGAATAAGATAAGGTAAGAAAAACCTAATCTAAACAATTTTTGAGAAATTACTGAACAGGTTTTGCACAAGAAATAGGTAAGTAGAAGAAGGTGTGTGTGAGTAGTGATGGCAAGAGGGAGGCTCCTCTCAGCTTTCTATACTCACCGCATTAAATGTGTTTTAGAAAGTACATTCCACGTGTCAAGAGATGAGTGAAATGCATGTCCTTGTCTTTAAGATATGCAGACTTTTGACTGCATATGAACAATGTTCTTCATGTAGTTGGTAAGCATGTGTGGAGACAATAAAGTAAATATGTACTTTTCTATGGAAAACATGGCTATATCCTTTGTGCGAAAAGGATAAGACAAAAGTTAATCTTGTTAAGCAAAACCCTTTAATCAGTGATAGTAAGGAATCGTTGAGGAGTCTTCACCTATTGCTGAGTCTTGGTCACATTTCACACTTGTTGTAGACAGTCTTATTATCACTGAATGTTCGCTTCAGATCATGAATAGACTGGTCTCTATCTTCAACATGCTGAAGGTTTCTTTTGTGTAAGTTTTATCTTTGAGGAATACTAAGGTTGTTGCAATACATGTTCAGTAATCAGTAATGATCGCTGAAACTAAGAAAAACAGAATTAAGTATTTTCACTAAGTATAGAAGAATTATCATCAAATCACTGAGAGAGTTTGGATCAATAGGTTCGACCTGATACGATAAAGGTCAACCCTTACAAGATTGTGATTAGGATGTAATATCCCCAACGATTGAAATGAGAACCAAGGTTTAATATGATGAGTATTTGTACACTTTTGTTTTGTTTTGGAAGACACAAGTCTATCATTATGATACAAAAATTAACAGCATGATTTATTCCTTATGGCAAACATTTTTAAAATGCTAACGATCATATAATATAATAAACTTTAATATTTTAATGTGACAACTCTCTATTAACAACACGTTTTTAAAAATGAGTATTTTTTATGATGTAATCTCTCCTTCAAAATGTAAATATGTTTTATTACAACTAGTTGTGTATTCGTACAATGCGGCAGGAGCCATGAATTTTAACGATTTTCAAGTTCCACTGGTTTTATTAGAGAAGATTTGACGATAATATAAGTTACAATTGGTCTTTACATATTAATACAATTTGAATAAATAAGAGTTATGGTTCCAATTACAGTTTATCGATGAAAAAAAATTGTATAACAGTTTAAAATCCAAAATATTTAAAATCCAACATATTTTAAATGACTCCACAAATTTTAAATGACTCTACAAATGTGTTCGATTTTCAACAAGAACAAAGAATCAAGAGATTGAGAGTGGGAGTTCTAGAGCAATTGAATGAGAGATGAATAATAGAATTTTTAATAACTCATGGTGAATATTAGTTTGAATCTCACATTGGGGGATGAAGAGAAGACATAGAGGTATAAGAGGGTGAAGGCATGAGTGAAAGATGTCAAAAGTATCTTGGAAACATAAAAAGAAAAGGTAATAATATGCATTGGTAACTTGTACTATATATTATTTTAATTGTAGATTAAGAGATTTTAAGATTGGATGCATAAAGTAGTAGTACTTAATGCATTATGAGTTATTTTTAAAACTTTATGCATAAATGTATAGTACTTTGTGCATTAAAAATTGTTTTTAAGACTTTTGATAAATCTGGTTTATAAAGTAGTATAGATAAACTTTAATTAACTGCTTTTTCAAAATGACAAACTAACTTTATAACTTTGGCTGATTTCTTAAGACAACGTCATTGATTTTAGCAACCAACGTCGGGAAAAAGAGCGTTGCCTATTCATGTCCATGCATGAATTGTGAGTTCTTAAAAAAAGAATATACGAACTTGACCCAAAAAAATTGTAAAAATACAATGGCATACACTACATACAACATCATACCACTTAATTAACCATCTGTTAAATCGGACAAGTATCTAGGATTTTCATCCGGCTCACGACACTCCTTCAAGGTAAAGGTTTTTGGGGCTAGAAAACCTTTACCACAAGTGGCTTGCTATAGAGGCGAGGGTTGTCTGCTTTGTCTCTCGTATTTCATGGCAGAAGGCTATGTAGACAACTATGTCGTGACTATTCCTAGGAGCCCTGTTCTTGCTTATTATTAGGATGAGATACACTGAGATGCACGGATCAATCCTTGTATCAAGCGCAATTCATGTGTGAGTTTAAGATTAAAGGTGATCAAGGGTTTAGCTCCCTTTTTACGCTTCTCACCTTAACTCTCATTCTCATATATCTAGGGTCGGGTTCAAGAAAAATCGTAGAAAAATAAAAAACTGAGGAACACCCTAGTAACCATTCATCTGTACAGTATGCACGTGTGCATACAAGTAATTTATAAGTATTTTTTTTAGTATGCACATGTACACACGCGCATGGAAACCAGAAAACATCTTCAGTTATTTATATGCATACGTGCATATACCGTACAGATGAACGATTATTAAGATGCTTCTCAGTTTTTCATTTTTAGAACATTTCACCTACCCCCCCCACACACGTATGAGGGTGGTTTGTACGGTTTTTACAAATGAGGGTGATTTTCATTTGGTCGCTCCTCTCTCTCTCTCTCTCTCTCTATATATATATATATATATATATATAGGGTTGAGTTCCAGTGAGAAGGAAAGTTACAGTGAGAAATGTAAAAAAAGATCTCTACTCTTAGATGCACATTAAGATGAGATGCATCGGATCAATTCCTGTATCAAACACGATTCATAGATGAGTTTGAGATTAAAAGTGATCAAATGTCCATATCCGTTTTTACGCTTCTCAGCTTAATCTCCTTCTCACGTGATCCTTCGCCTATACACACACACACACACACACACACACACATATATATATATATATATATATAGGAATTCAATCAAATGAGAACCACAAAAAGTTTACAAACCTTCGAGAACCGGTTAAAATTTACTTTTTGCATGATTTTTTTCTATCAAATGTTAGAATTTAATATATCGTTTCACATACATTTGTTTCATAATGTGATAGTTCCATATGCATGTGTTTCATATTGTGAAACTTTTTTCCGTATATTTTTCGTTTCATTAAGTGAACCAAAAAAAAAAGTTTCACATGGATTTTTTTCACCATATTAACATATGAGCATATGAAACAATAGTCAAAATCACAATCTTTAATGGAAAAGAATCGTGTTATTTTATATCGATTCTCATGAGTTTATAAATTTTTTCTGGTTCTCATTTGATTATTATTCTATATATATATACACACACATGTACACATATATGTTTTTTACTATTATCCAATGTGCGAATAATATCAAACAATTAAGTTGCATACTAAAAACTAAAAAGCAAAACACATAAAATATATGTAAAAAAAAATTAAAATCAAATAATCACATTACAAAAACCCATATTAGACTATGGTATGCCACAAGCTTAACATTGAGTGAGAGTCAGAGTTTTGAACCACGATGTGGTGCGATAACTGTCGTGACGAGTTTCTAAAGCACTGACGTATAAGGAATTGGGGATGGAAGGAGGCGACTATTGGGTGGGGGCAAGCTGGAGATCGCTTTTGGTGTGGTGGGAGAGGCATACCTTATTATAGTAGCAAATAACGTATTCTTAATTAAATATTATTTTTGAAAATAAAATTTAATTATTAATTATTTTGAATACTTATCAACGAAATACTTTTTTTTTTTTTAAAGTTATCAATTAATTAAAAAAATTAATGGATGTCAAGTTTTGCTTTTATTTATATCATCTATAAATTATTGAAAATCATCAAGTAATATTTTTTCGAATAATCTGCGACGTGAGACGACTTGACTCATGTCATTAACACCCCTAATCTCGATCTTAATGCAATGTTTGTATTTTGAAAAGCTCCATAATTTTTCTGTAACTTTCAATCTGGGGATGAGATTGGTTTTCAGAAAGTAGTCTTTTTGACTTGAAATGCTGCTGCTAGCATCAGATTCCTAACATTATATGCTTTTTAAAAGTTCATTTTTCCCTAATGCTATGCTGAATCCATATCTTCCAAAGGATATTATTCTGTTATCTTTTTGGTGGAATCAAGTTCCCATATATAAATTAAACAGAATAACAAATGAAAAGTAAGCAAATAACTTCTCAAATGGAGCATCAAGCCACAAGCAGGAGAAATGGAAGACACTCATCAACTGAAAGGCTGTTGGCAATAAGCTTGGGACTTGTGGCTGTAGCCTCACCGTTATTTATCGACAGAAAACCACAGACCATCGAGGAACTGGAGCTCGAAGAGCAACCTTTATTCAGCATTTCCACTTATCTGCTTATCGTTTTGTTACTTCTCATCATTGTTGCGGCTTTTTCGTGTTACTTGGATCATAGCCTTACCAGGTTTGATCCTTACTGGATATACAGAGTTGGAGGTTCTTCAGGCGGAATCATCGCCCTTCTAATAGTTCTTACCCTCGTCTTAAAGTGTAGAGCTTTTTAGCCTTCAAATCATGAGAAAAAAAGAGAGAAAATCTGATGCATGAATGTATCTATGTTGATGGTAAAGTTTAGAATTTTCAACGTCTTCTTATGCTAGAAAAATATAACATAATTGTATGCAACTCCTGAAGTTACATATAAACTAACTTAACTTGTATCAATTTCGTCTTTGGTTTTATTTTTTAAGTTGAAATAATAGAAGGGGAAAAGGTAAAGTTACATGCCATCGTTATGGGCAAGTGCAGCAGGAGTCTCCAGAGGGGAATAATGTAGCAGAACTTCCACAGGCTCAAACATCTTGACATGGTCCAACACTGAAACCGAGTCCCGTCCAACAACGTGCACCTGTGAGTTTGCACGGCCGAGTACAAAAGTGTCTGTGATCTGTAGAAACAAATCAAACATTTGGTTATCGTATCGTGGGCAGTGACCAAATGGTGACCGATATTGGAAGATAAACGATACTAGTCAACAAACATGGAGTTGATACAAAAAGGGTAACTAGATGTGAGATGTCCAGTGAGATGTCACTAAACCCATACGAAACCAAACGAGCATCCCACCTGGAGGGAGGGTCTAGGAGGTAAGATGCACGCAGACCTAGCCTCTACCTCAAAGCGTAGAATGGCTTAAGAAAAGTGATGAGCAAAGGTCATATGTTGCATTGTTACCTGGGTACATCCAAAGATTTTCAACAGCTTTAGTGATGAGCAGTTATCAGTAATAAACCCAAGTGCTTCATCTGTAACTTGGCGGCACCATGATAGATCCAAACTTACCAATTTCCTTGAGAATTTGGCAAGGGCAAAAGCAGAGTTGAAGCTAACCTGCAATTGATTTTTTTACAACAGTAAGCAATATGCATAAGATAGAAGCAGTCTCTCTCCAAAATGCAACAGAAACACTGCAAATGAAGACTTCCCCCCGACCTTAAACAAAGTTGAGGATCTGTAGTGAACCAGGATCGCCACTTTCTAGCATTAGACATAGAGGATACATCATACATGCATTTTGATTCGTTATAGGTTTCACTCTTTAAGAAGTGAAAGAATCAAATGTACAGAGCTTCCTCTTCATATTGAGTCTTGTCTCTTATCTATTTTGATGATCCTGTTCCTGTAAACGATGTTTCTATTACACCATCCGCTGTGTATCTTTGAATCCCTTCTATACTGCTCTTAATTTTGAGGATTCTCAAGAAATCAATGATTTTATACTAGTTTGCATCTCGATAGTCTTTAAGTGTATGCATGGTAATGATATTCATGGCAAGAATCATGAATTCAAAGATGGCGACTATGTTATGGCTCATGTGTCCGTCATATTTACTGTTTGTTCTGATAAGAAGTTATTTTATGTTCATTTGTTTGTGGCTCAGGCTGACGACCCAATATGGTATCTATATCTTTGAGTTCTTCCTAATAACCAACACAATTCTAGATTATCAGTTTCTACAGATTCACATTAACGTATGAAGTCAAATGAGTAGAAAGAATTCAAATGCCCATGCCCATGCCCTCAGCTTCTGAAAACAATCTGACATCTTATTTTGGAACAACTGATAAGCTATTGACCTCACTCATCAATTATAGTCATGCTGTTCTAACATGGATTTGTCCCTTTCACTTGCATGGGGTTTGGTTCCTGTGAGAAATATGCCAATTTTCACGAGAAGTGAGAGAAATGTACACCTTCACATAATATAATGTAAACTTCATGTGAAACCTGTGAATATAACTTTATATTGTGTGAAGGCATGTGAAGGTCACCACCTTCACAGTAACTTTTCAAATACACATTTCAGGTTCATGTGAAGGTTACCACCTTCACAAAATATAACATAACATTCACACAATATAAGGGTACCTTCACTATTTTTCAAGCTTCTCATGAAAATGAAAATTTCTAACGTGAAGCCACCAGCTGGTTTCTAATAAGCATTATTTTAACTCACCGCAACTAGTTTTAGGATTTTGAGTAAAAGCTACTATTGCTGTTTTGATTGCACAATTTAGTTGGTCTCTAATAAGCAGTGTCTTCAGGAAGTATAAATTGGAACATCTTAATGAGGGAGGAGAAAATGTAGGGACTGCTGGCGTGAAAGTCCATAAAAAGGATCGACCGTAGATAACTGAAGGGACAAACTGTAAATGGTGAAGAGAGCTATGAGGGGATAAAATTAAGTTCCAAGCAGCTAGCCCCAACGTCCCTATAAACCAAACCAAATGAACCCAGTGAATACCACACAAAGTAGGGTAAGGTGTATGCAGACCTTTCCTCTACCCCAAAGGGTAGAGAGACTGTTCCCGTGAAGACCCATGGCTTGCGAAGAATTCCTTTTTGCAAAATTTTGGAGTCTTAAGCTACCCCAAATGCATGTCTAACAAACAAGAAATGAAGTTTTGAGACAAACATGGAAATAACATGAAAAAAGATAGTTAAAAGCTTATGGAGAAGTATGGAACTGATAAACGACCTAACACGTAACGTAAGTGAGCCAAAAGAGACCCAAAGCGTCCTCCACCTACCGTAGGCCTCTGATACCTAGCCATCTGCTCTCTAACTCTCCCCCATCCTACCCTCACCCACGACCCATTCCCCTGACCATAGTACCACACAAGTTCTTACAAAAAATGTGCTACCATAGTCCTACGTCTCCACATACTCCTATTGAGGTAATGTCTTCGAAAATGTCTAAAGCCACCATGTCCAATCTCAGCTGGTCATCCACATCCTCCTTGGTCTGCCCCTCTCCTCTTCACCCCCTCGAACGTTACGTTCTTGACCCTCCTCACCCCCAACCAGTGTCCCTATAAACGTATCACCTATATATTGTCAATTAATTTAAAACTACATAAATTGTTATTTGTATAAACATGCAATAAGAGTGGGTGGAGGCTGCCAACATTGGATGCTAATACAAGGGAAGAGAGGTGAAGATTTCAGTAACTCATGGTTATCCTTACCTTGCGGACATGATTTAATGAAAGTTCTTTCAAGGACCCTCCAGAAGTTTCCAGAAAAGCAGCAACAACTACATCACTGTCACATGACAAACTTCATCATAATGATATGCAGGAATTAAGAATTTAAACGCAGCAACAACAGAGCATATAAGCAGACCATTCACAAGAATATTGAGTAGACTTCTCACCCCACAACATAAGATATTTTTAAACGCCCAAAAACACTGGCTTCTCCCCCTCACAACATAAGACATATATGATCCCCAAAAGAGAGGATGATATACTGACTTCCCATAAACCTGAAAAGCACATTCAAATTCCATTGATAACACATATGGGCACCTTCTATATGAATGATATCATGGCCTTCTATACATATAGGCATGCCATCTATTGTTACCTTTCATATATATAGGCATAATACTATGGCTTCTTAATGTTTGGGCCCATCACCTATGTATGAATTTATATATAATAACATTCACTGAATTATAGAACCAGAGAGCCCTTCTTTTCATAGACCCAGAGTGTAGGTCTCTGAAAAATCCTATCCCCAGTTCACACATCCACAAACAAGGCCAGAGCTACACGAGGCCTTGAAATTCTGCAGTACTTGCAGGATAACATAAATATTCCTTGCAAGAAATAGTTCAACTCAGTTGATTAAAAAACTGTCCTCTCAAGCCTCACCATTCAGATATTCGGCACTCTTATACACCTCTACTGACCCTTCTACTTCTCACAATACTCGAAAAACAGTCTAACTGAAGCATATAACATAGTAACACATTCTTACATTTTAATATAATAAAATTTTGATCTACAACCATAATAATGTCTTGAATAGTATATAATTTTGTTCACCAAATAAAAAAAAATTATATTTTAAGTGGTCTTGTTTATTTTTGTCATGGAAGAGTGAAAATTGATGCAATTGCATTTGAGATATGGATGGGATCAGGTTTGGCATGGGTTGGACAAAATGGGTGGGGGCAAGGGCGGACGAAAGACCCAGGGGTCCCGTGCACACGTTCAACCGATTTTCACAAGTGGAATCTTTTTTGCGGTATGAAAGGTGCACATGCTAAATTTTGAGGAGTGATCCTAGATATTAGAAAATACAAGGGACATCAACCAAAAATGTCCCTCAAAATCAACCAAAAAACTTAAAAGATCTCGCAAAAATCAACCAAAAACTAAAAAAATTCCTCAAGACGGTGGACTTCGGCTAAAAGCACATTTGGCTTGCGCCTAAGATGTAGTCTTGCATCTTGCTCAAAAGGTCGATTCCATTTGGAAAAATGTATTTTATTCCCCAAATCCGCAATTGACTTTTCTAGCCAAGGGAAGGATCCTATATAAGCCGAAGCAACACTCTAATACTCCTTAGGAAGACCATATAGGATATAGAATATGGTCATACAAACCCGAAATAGAAAATGACATAAGAAAGACATGAACTTTCCTTTTACAACATAGTTTTCTCTTGAACTAGAAAATTCGATAGAAAAAATGAACTTCCAAATTCTGTTTCCTTCCTCAATCACTTATTCACTTATGCCTTCATGTTTTAAGAAAAGTTGTTGCAATTTTTTCATGGCTTAGAAAGTGTATCTATTTTTCCAGCATGTTCTTTTTTATTTATTATTATCGTTCTTTTATTTGTTCCATAAAGCCAAAATTTATCCAACTTTCATAGAAGTAATGAGTGGAAAAAGCATCAATCAAGATTTATTTACAGAAGTCAAAACTATTTCAATAGATAAAACATTAAGTTTCTAAATAAACGTAAATGTGAAGTAAAATGTGGATATAATAGCAACAGATAGTCAATCAAAACAAAAAACCATGTTATTTCCAAACTTGATTGTGGATTTTGTAAACCCCCCCCCCCCCCCCGGCCCCCGGGGGCGCTTTTGGGAGGGGGGATGGCCGTAAAATGAAGGATCATTGGTTATCCATCATTTTCTCTATAAAAAAACCAATTTAGATGGAATGGCAAGTAACTAAGTGGAGAATCTGCCAAATCAAGGGGGAAAACATGTCGATTTTGAAAATTCATTGTCTTACATCAGTTTTTGTAGTTCAAGGAGGAGATGACTTCAAATAGAAATAAAAAAACCTAAGAGAACGAAAGGATAAAAGAACAACATGACATTTAGAACTACATTATGAAGTAGCTTCAAACTGGAATTGACATAGTTAGAAGAGTACCTGAAACCCGCACGAGCAATATTGAGTGATTCAAGTGACCTACAACCATCAGCTAGATAACACAGACCCAAATCTGTCACATAATTTAGATTTGAAATGTTGAGTGAACATAAATCGGAACAAAAATGTCCAATAGCTTGCAAACTCCCATCTGTTAACATCCTGTCAAAATGATAAACAAACTTAGCTGGAAGCACATAATCAAATTAAGAAATATAAAAATACCACTCGAAAATACAAAATTCTTACACGCAACCGGCCAGATTAAGCTCCTTTAGTGTTCTACCACATGCTCTAGTGATGCACATAACAAATTTATCACTGACAGTTGGAATTTCTGCCACTGAAATAACTTCCAAATGTTCAAACTGCATCATTGATGATAAAGAGTGCATGGCATCTATTCTTGGGCATTGATCTATATATAGCTCCTTCAAATTTGTTTTCAAAGAATCAGCTAAAATTTTAATGCCATCGCAGGTGAGGAGTGAGCACTGGCCTAAATTAATAGACTGAAGCAAGGGTGCTGACACAAGAAGACGCCTTAGAGTGTTGTCAGATAAACGAGCTGCAGCCCTTAGGGACAAGATCCCTAAACAAGCCAAGCTGTTTGGAGGTAAAGCCAAGGAATTACAAATGATGTCATCAAATGAGCATTGCCCACAAGAGTCAAGTTGAAGCACCTGTTTTGTAACAAAAGAGAATTTCAAATAATATACAAACAGAAACTAAAATATGAAAGAAGAATCAGGTACTTTCTTTTTCTGAAAGGAAACAAATTCATTAAGATACAAACCAACAAGGCAACAAGCACAAACACCCAACATTTTCCACGAGAAGCAGAAAGAAACACTAAAGCAGGGGTCACCCCAACAAACAGGGACCGAACTAGCAGCAACAGCAAAGCAAAAGTGACAAGAACACAGACAAAACAACCTACGGAAGACCACAACAATCAAACGAGGACCAAGAAGTCCGGCAACAGCAAACATTTGAGGACAGCCATGCACGAACTCTAATAGCAGTCACCTAAATGGGTTTCTCAGGTTGCAGCAACAATCTGCCCAAGAAGAAATATAGCCTTTTGAACTACGCTGGTACAGCGGTCAAAATACAAAATAGAAGTCAGGACTATGATTTGAAAAGGCGGTTACCGCGGTGGTATAGTGGTCCAAAAAAAGCAGTTCCGATAATAATTATTAGAATTATATATATAACATATATGTATGCATACATAACTTAACGTATTATATGCATTAATTAAAAATATAGTTTCAACGCCAAAATAAAAGGAGGAGGAGGCTGGGGCCTGGGAGTATCGAGGTCGACTGATATTTGAGGAGGACGATGATGTTGACAGTTAGAAATTTGAGAACCTAATAAAGTCTAATCTAATTGGTTAACTGTTAAAGAATATAGTCTTTGTTGGATTAAAATGATTTAAACTATTAAATAAAACAAGTCTTAATTTAAGCTGGTTATACAAAACAGGCCCAACTGCAAATGCCGGTATTGCGTACCTCTATTTTGTGTTAAAAATCGGTGAATTAGCGGCAAATTGCACTGCTATTCTCGGAACCGCAATTTATGACCGATATTTTACTACCGCAATTTCATCTAGGACCGATATCCGCTATTGCACCGATTTTAAAGGCATAGCTTTTGAATGATGAATTAACCAACGAAATGATAAGAGCTGAATGCCGAAAAACAAATCCTACTGAAACCTAACGCATGAACTTACTTTATTGAAAAACCACTAAATTATAACTCCCCAACAAGATTCATCCATGAGGTGGGTCAATCCCAATTGTGATAAATGTCATAAGATCAATCAAATCCTCATAACCAAGACCAAGCAAACGGATTTCCTTGTCTAAATGAAAAACTTGAATTGTCCACAAGCAAACGAATTGTCCTCAATTATGAATACATAACAAAACGTGTCCACATATATTCTATACATGGGAGATTATAGAGAAGGAAGGATTTTAAAGCACAATAAATAAACTAGAGATTATAAGCTTCAGACTAAGGGGCTCTTTGGTTGGTTTTCCATTAAGTTTGTGTGGATAAAGTTGTCTGTGTGGATTAATCTGTCTGTATAGATTGTGAAGGTTTTTGTTTGGAAGAGATTTTTCATAGATGGAAGAATCATCTAGCGTGTTTTTAATTGGGAGGGGCAGGTTCGGAAAAAACTTGACTTTCTGCAAAAACACTCCCCCCTAGAAGCTTAGTATACAAGCCACTTTCTATATCATTAAGCCACTCTACCAAACAGTCATGTATAGTTGACCGAATAAGCTGTGAGTCTCATTAAGCTCATTAAGCTGCTAACAAACAGGCCCTAAGAATACCTAGGATCACTTAAGCATCACATTTGTATCCAAGATAAGCCAAGGCATCTAGACTAAGGTGATCGCTTCACAAGATCAAAGGGAAATCCCTCTAAAGTTCTTAATGCATCATATAATCATTCTTGTAAATTACATCCCTATGCTAATAACCAACAATAGCAAGACTAGTGAATTACCTAATAATATTGCCAAAGCGTAATCTACAATTATCCTAATTGGAAAATGACATTCTCAAAAAAGTATGACTTATTGTAGAATAGTAATCGGATTTAGAGTAATGAAGAGTTATAGATAGACTCTAATAAGGAAACGTTCGTAAACAAGTGTTTATCCCATATTGTTAGGAGTTGTAGTTGTAGTCTATCTCCTAACCTCTACTTGTATATATAGTTCCTTATAAAGTAATCAACATATAGTAGAAAATAATATTCCTCCTACTTCTCTAAAGCTTTTATGGTATGAGAGCTCTAAAAAGATTTGATTCTTTTCACCATTTTTTTAAAACCCCGGCGTGAACAGTGTTTAATCAACAACCACCATGGGATCAGACCTAGAAAAATTGAACCAGTCAAAAAAAAATTCCTAATGCTGCCAATTCCGAAAACAATCTCTCTCCAAATTACAAGCTTTAAGCTGTCCGGATCGAACTACCCTCAATGGTCTCGATCTGTCCAACTCATTATTCGTGGGAAGGGGAAGCATGGCTACATCGATGACTCCATCGAAAAACCCTTATCCACAGATCCCTCCATTGCTGAATGAGATATTCAAAACTCCATGGTTATAGCATGGCTCATCAACTCGATGCAAGACAACATTGCAGAAAGTTACCTCTTTACCCTACAGCAAAATCTATCTGGGATGCCGTCGTTCGCTCCTATTCAGATCTCGAAGACTCTTCACTGATGTTCGAGCTTCGAACTAAGGCTCGAAATTTGAGACAAGATACCGGTAATGCTACTATTACTTTAATGCATTAACTAAACTTTGGCAAGAATTGGATCTTTTTTCTCAACCTGAGTGGAAGGATCCGGTAGATGCTGAGTTATACAAGAAGATGCTTACCAAAGAAAGAACCTATGATTTATTGGCCGGTCTTGATTCCTCACTTGATGATGTCGAAGGACATATTCTTAGCATTAAACCCCTACCAGTAATCGATGCCATCTTTGTCAGAGTTCACCGAAACATCAGAAAAGGACCATGATGACAAGTCCAGTTCTTAATGGAACACACATCAAGTCTGAAACCACTGCCATGGTTGCACATAATCGTGGACCTCGCAAGCCTACTTTTTGGTGTGACCACTGTCAACATCCCCATCATACAAAGAGTACTTGCTGGAAGATCCACGGAAAACCTGCTAATTGGGTACCTCAGAGCCAACGAATTCCAGAAATTAAAGGAAATCCAGCAACCCAAAGATCAGGATCGTCATCTTCCTCCAAACCTATGGTGGTTGTTTTTCCCAAGGCACAAATTGGGCAACTCTTAATGTCTTCAACCTCACTTATGGCTCGTGGTAACCAACAAATCGAAGATATTCCAAGTGAGTCATGGATTGTGGATTCCGAAGCATCAGAACATATATCTGGTAATAAGTCTGTCTTTCAAACCTTAGAGCCTTGCCTAGTTGCAAGAACAATCACCTTAACAGATGGTTCTATAGCTCCTATTGAAGGAATTGGCACAGTTGAACTTACACCCTACCTGATTATCCATGATGTTCTATTTAATACCAAAACTGTTGTACAATCTTATCTCTATTGGCCGTCTGACCTCAGATTCCAAGTGTCTTGGCTAATTTTTCTGAATATTTGTGTTTTTTTTTTCAGGATTAGGTATCGGTGAAGACGATTGGTCATGCTAAAAAGATTTTTGGGTTATACTACTTCCTTCCATCCAAATCTGCCACAATCTTTCTAGTTCATGGATCTACTACCTTAAATCTTTACCAACAAATCAGTCTTCTTCATCAAAGGCTTGGCCACTCTAGTTTTTTGTACTTTAAGAAACTATTTCCATCTTTATTTAATGATTCTGATTTTTTTCATGCGAAGTCTATCAGATGTCCAAACATAATAGAGTCCCGTTTCCTATTCATACCTATAGTGCGTCGAGTCCATTTTCTCTAGTTCATAGTGATGTATAGGGTCCTTCAAAAATCCCGTCAATTTCTAATAAAAAATGGTTTATTTCATTCATTGATGATCATACTCGAGTTTGTTGGATTTATCTTTACATACCAAAGCTGAAGTTGTTAGTAACCTTGAAAAGTTCCATTCAATGATCTTTACACAATATGATGCAAAGATCAAAATCCTCTGAACAGAGAACGGCACCGAGTATTTCAATTCGGCCATGTCTAGCTTTACCACAAGACATGGTATTATACACCAAAGCTCATGCGTTAATACCCCTCAACAAAATGGCGTTTCCAAAAGAAAAAACGTCACTTGCTAGAGGTAGCACGATCTTACAAAGTCATACACCCAAATCTTTTTGGGGTGATGCAATTCTAACAGCCTGTTATATCATTAATCGGTTGCCTTCACGGGTATTAAAATTCCAAACACCTCTAGCCGTCCTACAAAATCCTTCCTGAAGGCTTATGCCTCTTCCAATCTTGATCTGAGAGTATTTGGTTGCTTGGTATTGTCCACGTTCATAATAAAAAAGGTCCAAAATTGACCCAAGGAGTGTGAAAGGTGTCTTTGCTAGTTATTCCTCCTTCCAAAAGGGATATCGATGCTACTGCCAAAGAAACAAAAATACTTTGTTTCACACGATGTCACCCTTCTTGAAGGTCAATTCTATTACTTTCCTCAATCTAACCAGAGAGCCGAAGTATCCCATCCTATAGGAGCCAAAAGCTGGGAACAATTATGGGCTTCCGATCCTCCAATCACCTCACCAAAGAACCAGCCAGAAACCACCTCACCTAAACCCACAATTCCAAAAACAGCCGACCCTATCTCTCCATCACCAACTACCCCACAACCTGTCCCAAAACCTACAAGCCAAGCCAAGTCAAGTCCTTCCCAGTCACATACAACCGAAGAAAAGAAGTTACTCCAAAGTCTAAGGTACACCAAGAGTTGCCTTCTAAATCTGATCTTGATGTACCGATTGCATTTAGAAAAGGTACGCACTCTTGCACTCAAGATCCTATTTCTGATTTTCTTGGCTATGCTAATCTAGCCCCACCTATGAAGGCTTTTGTTTCAAATCTGTCTTTAACAAAAGAACCAACCAATATTCCTAAAGCTTTGCAAGACAGTAAGTGGCGAGCTGCAGTATTTGAAGAGCTCTGTTCCCTTCAAAAA